AGCCTGGAGGTGCGGAGCCTGCGACTGCTGGACCTGGGGGCTCTCCGGTTGCTTCGTCTCGGCAGGAGCCGCTCTCTCCACAGGAGCTGCGCGAGTGGTTTGCTCGCCGCTGGAGGCGTGCTGCTGGAGCTGGAGCTCCTTCGACTGCTGAGGGTGCTGGTGCTGCCGGTCCCGGAGCTGCTGGGCCTGCGGGTCCTACTGGAGCTGGAGCTGCTGAGCCTGGGGGTGCTGAGTCTGGAGCTGCTGAGCCTGGGGGTGCTGAGTCTGGAGCTGCTAAGCCTGGGGGTGCTGAGTCTGGAGCTGCTGAGCCTGGGGGTGCTACGTCTGGAGCCGCTGAGCCTGGGGTTTCTCCTGGTGCTGCGCCTCGGCGGGAGCCCCTCTCTCCGCAGGAGCTGCGCGAGTGGTTTGCTCGCCGCTGGAGGCGTACTGCTGGAGCTGGAGCTTCTTCGACCGTCGAGGGTACTGGTGCCGCCGGTCCCGGAGGTGCTACGCCTCTGGGTCCTACTGGAGCTGGGGCTGCTGAGGGCGTTGGTGCTGAGTCTGCTGCTGTCTGTCCTGCCGGTGGTTCTGCTGCTGGTGCTGCTGGAGGTCCTGCCGCTGGAGGTGTTGGTGGCGCTGGTGCTGCCGCTGAGGGTGCTGGTGCTGTCCCTGCTGAGTCTGGAGCTGCCGCGCGGCCTCGGCCGTACTTCGTTCCGCTTCTGCAGCAGGTTCTTGGTCTTTCTCCTCCGGTAGAGTGTCCACAGCCTGTCCAGTCGCAGTCACTGTTGGAGCCTACCTCCCCACTGCCTGCTCCCTCTCCTTACACTGGTCCTACTGGAGGTCTTGCTGAGCGTCGTGAGCCTGCGTCTCGTCCCGCGTCGCCTGTTCGTGCTGCCCGCGCTAGTGGTCGTGGTTCGCGTCCGCGTCCTCCTCCTGTCCCTGGCACGCACCGGATGTCTCTGCGTCCGTCCAATGCTCCTCTGCGTGCCCTTTTGCCTTCTCCTCCTGAGTCCTCCCTTCCTGTGCTTACCGACCCAGAGTCGGACTCCCTTCGTGCTGCCAGTCCTACTGTCACGCGTCTGCTTGCTACTGTCGTCACTGACCCGTCTTTTGAGTCCGCTGCTGCGTCTGCTCTTTTCGCTGAGCTCGTCGACTTTGCTGCTCGCTGCCGTCTAGACTACGCTGCTAGTCTTGTTGCTGAGTCTGCGTCTGTCTGTCCTCCGTCCGTCGGGGGTGAGTGTGCTCTTGGCACGGACATCCTAGAGGACAGGCAGGAGGAGTTCCAGTGTCTGGCTGCTGCTTCACCTCATCTCGCGTCTGTACTGCTTGCTCCTGAGGGAGACCCGGATGCACTAGACATCCCGACTCCGCGCTCTTACGCGGAAGCCGTAGAGGGTCCCTACTCCTCTCAGTGGCAGGCAGCTATGGATGCAGAGATGGCTCGTGGCTTCAGTCAGCGGCAGGGAGTTGACTACTTTCAGACCTTCTCTCCCACCCCGAAGATGACCACTCTTCGGGTGCTGCTGCACATAGCCGCTCAGCGCGACTACGAGCTTCACTCTCTCGACTTCAGTACTGCGTTCTTGCAGGGGAGCCTGCACGAGGAGATCTGGCTGCGCCGTCCACCTGGCTTCACTGGGACTCTCCCTCCTGGCACCCAGTGGAGCCTCCGACGGCCAGTCTACGGTCTCCGCCAGGCACCACGTGAGTGGCACGACACAATGAGGACTACGCTTGCGGCCCTTGGGTTTGCTCCTTCTACTGCTGACCCGTCGCTGTTTCTGCGCACCGACACTTCACTGCCGCCGTTCTACATCCTCGTGTACGTTGACGACTTGGTCTTTGCCACAGCGGACACTGCTGGACTCGCCTACGTGAAGTCCGAGCTGCTGAAGAGACACACGTGCACAGACCTGGGTGAACTGCGCAGCTACCTTGGCTTGCAGATCACTCGGGACAGAGCACGCCGCACCATTACCTTGACTCAGTCACACATGGTGCAGCAGGTCCTTCAGCGCTTCGGCTTCACGTACTCCTCGCCTCAGGCCACTCCTCTGTCTACTCGTCACTCGCTCTCAGCTCTGCCTTCGGATGAGTCCGTAGAGTCGAGTGGCCCGTACCCAGAGCTTGTTGGCTGCCTCATGTACCTGATGACCTGCACACGACCTGACCTTGCATACCCTCTTAGCATTCTTGCACGCTATGTTGCTCCTGGGAGACACCGACCAGAGCACATGGCTGCAGCGAAGAGGGTATTGTGCTACCTGTGCAGTACGTCGGGCATGGGGCTAGTGCTTGGAGGGCGGAGTCCAGTGGTACTTACAGGTCACGCGGACGCTTCTTGGGCTGACGACCAGGCTACGCAGCGGTCGTCACAGGGTTACACCTTCAGCCTTGGCTCCGGCTCTGTCTCGTGGCGGGCTACTCGCTCGTCTTCGGTTCTCAGCTCCAGTTGTGAGGCTGAGATCTACGCAGGGGCCATGGCTGCACAGGAGCTCCGCTGGCTCACCTACCTGCTGAGTGACCTTGGAGAGCCGCCTCGTTCTCCTCCAGTGCTGTACGTAGACAACAAGGCCATGCTGGCCTTGTGTCGAGAGCAGCGTCTGGAGTACAGAACGAAGCACATTGCTCTTCGCTACTTCCTTGCTCGTGAGCTACAACAGCGTGGACAGTTGCGGCTTGCGTACGTGGCCTCTGAGGCCAACACTGCTGATGTGTTCACCAAGGCACTCGCGCCTTGTGACCATCAGCGCTTCTGCACCCAGTTGGGTCTTGTGCCTGTCTTGCCTCACTTGCTCTCCTCTTGACTTTACTTGTACTGTCACATATATATACATGCTCTTGCTTGTCTAGCTTTATATATATATGTGTGTACTCCTGCATGTGAACTGGCCTTGTGGCCTTGCTCTTATGCTCGGACTGTGTGGTGACTTTGTGATCCACCCTGAGCTTTGCTTTGCTTTGCTTGACTGGTCTTGTGACCCCTTGTTCTCCCCCACTTTGCCTATGGGGGTGTGTCAGAACATATATGTAGCTTATGCTGTTGTGTAGGCTACAGTGGGGTATACCATAGGGGGTACAACCCAATTAGGGTTTTGCTATTTGTACTCACTTCACTCATAGTTCATTCATTCTCGTTCTATTTTCCACAATTCTGTGGTTTGACCCCTCCCGCACACACCAGGTGTGTTTACTCGTGGATGAGCGGCCGGGTTCAGGAGGAATTCCATGTGAGACTAGTCGGTTCTACCTCGTGAGGAGGGGTGACACGTGCGGTAAACTGATCGCGTCTCGATACCAGCGGAAAGTTAACCTTTTCCGGTCACTCAATGGAGGGTATGACTGTACTGTCTCGTCGTTGTGGGTGGGCATGCAGCTGTGCTTGCCGTAAGCAAAGGAGCTGACGTGTCAGGTTAGTTGCATCAATACCGTAGTGTTCTAACCAGACTCTTACAAGATACCCTTGGCACATGGTTCATATCTCTAACCCTTAATATACTAAATGTACCATATTCTGAAAAAGGCGTGTTAGAAGTAGAAACAGCTGAATGAGTTGAACTAGGCAGCAGCAGGGTGATACAAATAGGCAACCTAAACATAGGCTAACCAATGTGACAGCACACATGTACCGTATACTCCCGGACAAAACACCCCCCCATAATTGTACACCCCCGGATAGCTTGTGCGGGGTGGGTGTTATGATAGACCTCGTTTCTACTATACCCCCCCCCCCCTTTTGGCTGATTTTCTATAACACCCACCTTTTCTTACAGATTCATTATTATAGTCGTTAACGAGTAGCTGCAATACGGAAGAATATCGTGTGAATTTCTCCCTCAATGAAATTTCGCGGTACATTCAAAGGCAATCTGCCGAGATTTGCCCACTCCCACTATTTCTCTGTTGCCACGTGCAGGTGAATCTTCCGTTGCAAGTGGTAAGAGAGGTGCCACATGGCATTTTCATGAGGGCGATGAAGTTCGAGGCCGAAACTCACATTCGCGCCTCAGGCAGTGATGCTAAAACGATCAGAAAAACACCCACATTGACTAATTAAAAAAACACTAACACTAATAAAATATGCCATATGCAAAGACCCGGGTATTATGTATTTTTTTCCTATGAGGAGACCCCCCCCCCCCATTTTTCCCCTGTATTTTTAGCTATACCCTACCCTAGGGTGTTACGTCCGGGAGAATACGGTAACAACTGGAGTACAACTTTGACACAACCCCGCACCACACCACACGCTAGGTAAAGGGAGCTGTGCCTGGTCGGCAAGAAACAGATCAGGATGGCTCTTTTATACACAAAAGTAGCGTACTTCATATTGAGAGACACAAGCACTCCAAATGCATTTTGATCATTAATTTTAACAGTTTTCTTGTGTGCCTCAACTGTTTTGATGTTGTTAACCTGCTCCATTACTTTAACCCAATCGTCATGCTTATATGAGGCACACAAACCTACTTTCTTGCTTCGTGCTCAACGAGTCTGACATGTAATGGCGAAACGGATTTTGACCGTCGATTTCATGCTGGGGTGGTTTCGTTCGGTTCACACACCTGCAAGGACCCCATGCTATCGATAGCAGGGTAAACTCATCACAAACTCATCAGTTCGGAAATGGTTCGGGAGTAGTTCGGCACCCCTTGCGATTCCCGACCTCGCGTGCTGTCCCGACCTCAGCATGTTCAACCGTTCATTTCGTAGTGACGACGAGACTCGTTTGCTCTGGTTCGGTTTAGCTTGCCATGCGTTGGTCCAATCTATTCCCCAGGCACCAGATCCAGCAGTACAGCTTCAAGCAAACCAAGTTATTTTACGTTTCCCTCGCCAGCGTCGCGAATTACGTCATCTTTTTTATTTCAGTAGTGAAGTTGTTACCCTCCAGCTTTGAAGTTGCTGTGCGTGAAGTTGTTACCCTCCAGCTTTGAAGTTGCTGTGCGTGAAGTTGTTACCCTCCAGCGTACAGACATACAGCACTCCACCTTGACGATACTCACGGGGTTGAGAAGAAAATGGCGACGACACCGCGGGACATGGAGCTGCGGCTGGTGAACGGCATGGTGCTGAAGGTGCAGCTGGCGGAGATGGCGGGCGGCGTGGGGGAGCGCGTGGCGGCTATGGAGGCGAAGCTGAGGGAGCAGGGCGACGCCATGGCTGCCATGCAGCGCGACTTGGCCGAAACGCGCCGAGCCATGGCCCTCTTCAAGGGGATGGCGGCGACGGGCGCTTTGAGGGAGGGGGCGGGAAAAGGGAGTGAGTCAGAGGAGGCAGCGGAGGGCATTGGCGCGCGGCGGAACAACGCTTTTGCTGCGCTGGAATTGGAGGAGGTGAAGGCCCAGTTGGAAGCGGCGAGGGGGGAAGCGCGCGACGCGGCGAGTGAGATGCGCGGGGAGATGGGCGCGCTGAAGGCGGAGCTTGCGCGGATGAGGGCTGCGGCGGAGCGGCAGGCGGCGGAGGTGGCGTACGTGAAGGCGACGGCGGCGCACTCGGAGGCGCGCATCAACGACGTCGAGCTGGCGCTCGCCGCCATCAAGGAGGGGCAGGCGGAGAAGATCCGCGCCGAGCGCGAGGCGGGCAGCGCGGGGGAGTATGCAGAGGCGGAGAGGCGCGAAGGGAAGAGGCGGAAGAGGAACGAGGCGTGTAAGCAGGAGGACATGGAAGATGCTCCTGCAGGGGCTGGGCTTGGGCCTTTCGCCGTTGGCGGTGCGCTTGGAGGAAATCGTGTTGAGGCGAACAGAAAGGGCAAAGCAAAGGAGGAAGATAACGAGCTGCAGGGGCTGAGGGCGCGAGTGGAAGCGCTGGAGAAAACGAGCGACGGAGGAAGCAAGATATGGGAGGTGAGTGCAAACGGGCGGATGGTGTGGATGCAAGACGGCGTGGCACTGGCATGTGGATTCTGGAATCCGCGTGGGTCGTGTGGGACGGTTAACTGTTGGTCGGCTTGTGATGCAACCCTATTCTCCGGTGTGCTGTTTTCCTTTCTGGCTTGTGCGTAATCGATGCTGGGTTCCATGTGGAAACGGACCCAGTTTGGTCCACATGATATCCAGAAGTTAACCGAAACCATGTCAGTCCGCCCTACCGTTTCGAAAGTAAATCACAAAAGCGTTTGGATTTCCGTCCTTATAATTTTCCTCTATCGACCACCAACTGGACAGCTCGTTTCGAACCGATTGCCTCACACCTGACAAACATGACGTGTGGAATTTGTCTCCCACCGGGATTTGTCTCCCTGGCGTCACTTGGTCGTGCTCATCTGTGTGTGTGTGTTTGCCTTGTTGCTGCTCTTGGCTGCACTGCAGGAACTGATGGGAGTGTGGGCCAAGGTTCTTCCAGGCAGGTCTCGCATGGACCTCAGCGGCGTGTCCCTCCTCACAGACACCACCCTCACTCGACTCTCCTCCATGCACTCTCTCGCATGGCTCGACCTCAGCGGGGCCTCTGGGTTCACTGCAGTGGGACTGAGACATGTCTTCTCTCTCACGAGCCTGGGACTTCTGGATCTGACCGGTACAAAGACAACGGATGCTGCTCTTGATGGCATTGACGACCTCAAGAACCTTCACACGCTTGATCTTCGTAGCAACCCGGTAACAGACGTGGGAGTACAGAAGCTGCTGGCGCTGACTCAGCTCACGGATCTGAATGTTTCTGGGTGCTCTGCTGTCACCTCGGCCAGCATGGTGCATGTGGGCGAGTTGACAGCACTGACATCTCTCAGGCTGCACGACTCTGGCGTGACCGAGGACGGGCTGCAGCACTTGACTGTTCTCACCGCACTCAAGCTCTTCACTGTGCCTCCCGGGGTGACTGATTCCGGCATGAAGCTGCTGAGGAACATGAAGCGACTGGAGAGGCTGGGGTTGTGGGATGTGAATGTCACTGTCGCTGGCCTCAAATGGCTCAACGGGCTCAAGAGCCTCCAGGTCATTGCCACGGAAACTGAAGACGTTGAATGCCTCATCAGGGACAACTTCCCTGGGATGATTGTAACACCAGGTCCACTTTGATATCCTGGGTAATATACGGCTAGATCCCACAGCTATACGCCTAGTTTGGCTTTAGGAATACGGTAACCGTACCAATATCCAGCACTAGCATTTACCAGGCTCTACACGAAGATGGATGTGCGTACAAGACCCTGCGTTCGTAGAATGAAGGAGCTGTCAACTTCTTCCTGTCATGACTGATGAGACACCATGCCTTGACATTGACATGTACAGGTAGGTTGAGCAAAATGATAAATTTTGAAAGTGTAATGAAATGTAACACTTTCTAGAATTTTGTATTGTGAATGTTGGGCTGAGAAGCCCTAGGATCTTTGTAGAGCTTAAGGTCTGAGTAGGATTGTAATAGCGGAAGCGTTTGAAATAAAGAGTGATTGAACCAGCGTTTGAAATAAAGAGTGATTGAACCACCTTGCGCTAGTATGTGAGGGCAAAGTAAGTTGAATTGAACACGCAGATACAAAGATTTATATAAGAGTACAAGGAATACGAATAGATAGATTTAAACCGTTTTACTGTTGCGATTCGATACAGTGCGACTCGGGCAACTGCTCAATGTCGAGTCAGTTGTGTGTCCTTGCTGTCGCGCTGTAATTGTCGAGTCAAAGGTCGCTGACCTTTGACTTTCCCGTAACCTCCAGGCGGTTACCCTAACCTCCGAGGGTTGACTCGCGATGCTTCGTTTCGGACTGCTTCGCTAGTGTCCTTAGTTTCGACACGACAGAGGCGCTTTAAGACTTATTGTTCCCAACACTCCCCTTCGCTTCTGGAGTGTCGCTGATGGTGACGTGGTCTTGTCCAGTCAGCAGCATGCAGTACTCGAACTTCTGTTTTCCGAGTTTCTTGGTAAAATAATCGGCTGCCATCTCGGACGTGGGACAGTAGGATAATTCAAGTTTCCCTTTCTCGATCTCGTCCTTTACGAAGAAGTATCACAGAGCGATATGCTTCGTTCTATTCGCGAATCCGCTTTTGTTGGCGATGCGAATTGCAGATTGGTTGTCGCAGAACAGGGTGAAGTTGGGTAACTCGGCTAACTTTGCTTCTTCCAGCAGCTCGCGAAGGTAGAGTCCTTCCTTGGTGGCTGAGCAGAGGGCGATATATTATGCTTCAGCTGAAGAGAGAGCGATTAGTTTCTGCTTACTCGACTGCCAGGAGATAGGTCCGATAGGCTCGAGACGATAGACGTAGCCGGTGCAAGAACGCCTATTATCAGAATCGCCGGCATGGTCAGCATCGACGTAGCCGATTAGTTTCGTCGTCGTAGCTTCGCCCTTGTAGTAAGTTAGGCCGATCGTCGGTGTGCTCACGAAGTAGTGCAGTGCGCGATCGAGCTCCGCCATGTGCTCTGCTTCGGGTTTCTTGAGATAGGTGGCGAGTTGACTCGCGGAATAGGATAGATCCGGGCGACAGGTGACGGCTGCAAAGAGGAGGCAGCCTAGCTTCCTCTGGTAGTCTCGTATTCCGGCAGCTTTGAGTGGAGCGGAATTTCCTTTGCCGCTTCCTGTCGTGTGGCGATATGGCGTGGCGATGGCGGTAGGTGTGAGCGAGAAGCGCTTAGCGATAGTGTCGGCGTATTTCTCGGCGTTGAGGTAGATAGCATTTTCTTCTTCGCGGATGTTGAGCCCGAGATACTGGGTGACGGTGGAGGAGACGGTGAGCGTGAGGTCCTTCTGCAGCTCCCCTTCGAACCAGGTGATGACGTCGTCGGTGGAGCCGATGTAAAGCAAGTCGTCGACATAGACGATCAGTAAGATGTAGTCTGCGCCTTTGGTGAGGCGATACATTCCTTGGTCGTGAGGCAGTTGTCGGAATCCGATGCGGGTGAGGCGGGTGTGTAGGTGCTGTTGCCACAGTCGCGGGGCTTGTTTGATTCCGTAGAGCGATTTCAGTAGTTGACAGACTTGGTTGGGGTTTCCGTGAGTGCCGTGTGGGAGTTCGACGAAGATTTCGGCGTCGACGGGTGCGTAGAGAAATGCGTTGGCAACATCGATCTGTCGCAGCTTTTTCTTCTTCATGGCGGCGACGGCGAGGAGAATTCGAAGAGAGGTATGTCGACTAACTGGGGCGAAAGTCTCGGTGAAGTCTCGTCCTTGTTCCTGGTCGAATCCACGCACGACCCAGCGTGCTTTGAACTTCTCGATTGTGCCGTCAGCTTTCGTCTTGATGCGGAAGACCCATTTCCCGATGAGAATGGTCTTGTTCCGTGCCACGCTTGCGGGAACGACCTTCCAGGTGTTGCGTTCCTCCAATGCCTTTACTTCCCTATCCATGGCTTCACGCCATTTCTCCCTGTGTTCCCCCCCCAGAGCATGCTGAACTGTCGCAGGCTCTTTAGGAAGAGTGTTGCCGGCGTTCCCGTGGACTGCGGTGACAAGACCGAGGATTTGTAGCCCAGTCTGTGAGTATCGAGGGAGTTCTGGATCCTCGGGATAAGCTGCTTCGTCTCCCGCTTCTGGGTCGGGTAAGAAATTTGGCCCTATCCTTTCTGCTTCGTTGGTGTTGACTGTCGCAGGTGTTACGTAACCATTGTCGGCGAAATGGTAGAAGACTTCGGCGTTGTTACTGTCGCGAGGATTGTCTTCATCCATGGGCACGTCGACGGAGCAGTACGGGAGAGGTCCGGCTTCCTCCGATGCGTTGTCGACGTTCTGTTCATCCCAGTCTGCTTCGTCCGCTGCTGAGGCGAAGGCTCGGTCACCACGAAAGCCACCTGTGAGGTCCCGTTTCTCGTGCAAGTTGGCGAGGTACGTCTGAAGGGTGAGTCGTTCGTAGAAGATCACATCACGTGCTGCTACTGTTTCTTTTGTGTGGACGTCGAAGATTCTCCATGCGTTGTAATTTTTCTCGATGCCGAGGTGTAGTCCCCACTGTGCCCGTTGCGAAAATCTTCCCGCTCGTGCTTCTGGGGGTCGGTACTGTACCATGCACTCGAAAATTCGTAACATTTTTGTGCTGGCCTGCTTTCCTGTCCACAGCAGATGCGGTGATGCGTTGTTCAGGAGTGACGACGACGACAGCAAGTTGTGCAGCATGACAGCATGGTCCATTGCTGCTGGCCACTGGTGGTTGGGTAGCCGCATGCCACGTAGTAGTTTGCGCATGCTGTTCTGCAGAGTCCTGTTCATTCTTTCTGCAACACCTTGCTGCTGATGTGCGTAGGGAAGGGAGAGGAGTTGCTTGATCCCCCTTTCCGCCAGGTACTGCTTGAAGCGCCGAGAGGTATACTCGCCACCTCCGTCTGACTGGAAGCTTTTCAGCTGCGTTCCTGATTCCCTCTCTGCTATCGGTAGCCAGGCGGCGAACGCTGCGAGTGCCATGTCGCGGCTGGGTAGGTTTCGATGCCAAACGTATCGAGTGGCGGCGTCGATGAAGGTGATCGTGTAATTATAGGTCACTTGGCCTGGTTCTCGATTGTAGAGGATGTCGCTATAAACCTTTTCGAGTGGTGCGTATGCGGGTGCGCTCGGGTTGTGGTGAGAAGGAAACGGTCGATGTGGTAAGTCGGCCTCGGGGCAGATGAGGCAAGTCCCTCGTGCACGTTGAAGTTCTCTTCCGTCGAGTAGTAGTAGCGAATCTTTGTCCAGCACTCCTGCTCGTATCGTATTGTTTAATACCGTGTTGCTTGGATGTCCTGTGCGTGCATGCCAGATGTCTTCGGAGGCGCGGTGTCCGGGTGAACGTTGATATGCGTCGGAGTTGGAGTAAAAGCTGGCGACGAAGTTGGCGCTTCGGTGGACTTCTCGTTGAGTTGGGTTCAGCCGTTGTGCGAGTGTTGGTGGTGCTTCGTCGACGATGACTGGTGTCGTTGCTCCTGCTGCTGCCGATGTTGTTGCTGCTGCCGATGTTGTTGCTGCTGCCGATGTTGTTGCTGCTGCCGATGTTGTCTCTGCTGCTGCCAATGTTGTCTCTGCTGCTGCCGATGTTGTCTCTGCTGCTGACGATTGTTGAATTGTTGCTAATGCTCGTGTTCGCTCTGCTTCAGGGATGGTGTGTGAGTACCAGAAGCCTCCTGGGCTGAAGTCGGGGTCGAGGTCCGGAGGGTGTGTCCAGTCGGTAAAGTTGACGATGGCGTCGCTGTCTGCAGTGCCCAGGTCGGGGACGAAGTCAAGAACGAAGACGTTGTTCTTCAACACTGCTCTCCCGATGTAGAGGCCGCCCCTCCCGTGGTATAACTTAAACTCCTGGGTGGTGCTGTCGGCTTCCAAGTGAATCCCCTTTGCCATCAGCTGGCTAACACTCAGTAAGTTGTAACCGAGTCCTTCTGCGATGAGTACTTTTGACATGTGTAGTATGACGTTGGTCTCTCTTGATTGAAGCTGAACGACTCCTTGTCGTCTTGTGCGCAGGTTCTGGTTGTTGGCGACCGTGATGACTACTTCTCGCTGGAGTCGATGTTCGCGTTGTACGAAGCGCCCGGAGGAGCACATGTGTTGTCCGCAGAAACTATCCAAGAACCAAGTGTCTTGGCCGGACGGTTCGCTTTGAGCGATGGCGGCGTATGTTGGATTCGGCTGGAGTGATTCGCGGCGAGGCGTCCTGTTGTCGAGCTCTTCTTCTGGTGAGTAGTGGGGTGGTGATTCTGTTGTGCAAGAATCGTTTATCTTCACCATGCAATTGACGATGCTTCTTGTTTCTTGTGCAGGTTGTCAAGTTGAGGTCGTTGAGGCTTGGATTGTGGTCGTCGGACTTGCTTGCGTTGAAGTAACTTGGGAGCTTGAAGGCCGGAGTTGTCGCTGTGGTGTTGTCTGACGAGACGGGCAATGCGTGCGAGGATGGCCCGAAGTCTTGCAGACGTGGCAGAACGGAGGTACCGTTTTTACTTGCTGTTGTCGATTGTTGTTGCCGTTGTGTCGTCGCTGAGTGTGAAAAGCAAATTCTGGTGCTAATGCTTTCTTCTTGTGTCTTTCTTCTTGCAGGTCCATGTCCTGCTGCTCAGCATGAATTTCGGCGCAGAGTGCCGCTTCGGAGATCCTCCCGTGTGCTCGTAATATGGCGCGAGT